AGGTCAGCCTCTTTGTTTGCAGCCCTCAGCGGGGCTCAACACATGGCCTGCTGTTGGGTTCCAAAACAAAAAAGTAGTCCCTCCCTCCAGCCCCAGGTATGGGAGGAGGAAGAACCCCTGGGGCTGCAGCAGGAGCAGATGTGAGGGCTAGGCAGGGACAGAACTAACAGCCGGGCTGGGGACAGGCGGAGGTGGGGGCTGAGCAGGGACAGAACTAACAGCTGGGCTGGGGACAGGTGGAGATGGGGATGGCAGGACACAGAATTAGTCAGTTCTTGTTTGGGAGGTTGGGGAGAAGCTGAAAGCTCTGCAGCTGCAGGGAATGATTTGTACCAATCTGTGTCCTGAGATCTCATTGGCAGGGCTTGACAAACCCCAGCAAGAGCCACTTGCCAGGCCATCTCATTGACAGGGCTTGACAAACCCCGGCAAGAGCCACTTGCCAGCGCCGCACGGCGCATGTGCCAGACCAGCACTGTGCAGGCGCAAAGCCCAGTGAATGGAGCGCATGGAGCGACCAGCTGAAATCCATGCACCATGGATGAGTAGATTCAGCGGTTTGTCTAGCCCTGCTCATTGGGGCTCCCAGCCAGATGTTTGGGGGGGGTTGGCAGGGTTCAAAGGGAGGGGGGTTGGCAATAGTAGCAAGCAGGGGGCACAGCCCACTAGTTTAATCATAAAATGTTATTTGAGTGTCAGAATGAGTGCAAATAGCAAGGAAAGAATGTGTTCTTTTAAGGAGGCTTTGCAAAAGGAATATCCTTTTTTAAAGAAACTTGACAATCCACACAACATTTTGCACCTGTTATAGCTGTACGGTAAAGATTGCTTATGGTGAGAAATTTGACATCAGCTTTATATTCAATGAAAGATACGTCAGTTAGTTGTCCGCTCTGTAGCTTCCAGTGCTTCAGTGAAGAAAGGTATTATAAAAGATGATCCTGTTAAAATTGAGTTTGTGGCAATGCCAGGAGCAGGAGTGGCCCAAGGCCGGCTGTAGCAGCTGGCGCCCCAGGCAGAAAGCACAATCGATGCTCCCACCTGCACGGCCATCAATGGCCATGACGTCATCATCGGGTGCCCGGGCCAGCAGCGCTCTAGGCAACCGCCTAGTCTGCCAAGGCTCACAGGCCGCCCCTGGCCAGGAGTTGTTATATATCAGACCATAACACACAATCACAGTTTCAGCTCTTTTGAGTGGACCGCTAAGATAATTTTCCCATTGTTTGAACTTAAATTTTCTTCAGTTTAAGGGAAAAGTGAAGCAATTGTGAAAAATGTTTTCATTCCAGAAGCTCATAAGATTTTGCAACAGGAATTGAGTGAAACCTCATGTCTCAAGATTGTTACATTCATCAACCACACCGATTAATAAGTTGTTTCTATCTTAATAAGATATTTTCATGAAAGTACTGGAGTTAATGTGAAAGTTCTGAAACTTGACGTCCTGCCAGGTGAGACAAGTGACCAACTTAGTGATTATGTTTTCTTTGTTTTGAACCACAGCAGACTTATGGCTAAGATTGTTGGCATGTCTGTTGTACTTGAAGTACTACACAGGATCTTTTCAGAGGAAAAGGCAAAATGCACATTTATTGTTAGAACATGTAGCAATCAGCACTTATCATATGCATATGATATATCACACACATACACAAGCACACCCTGTCTTGTTGTTACCAGTAGTTGCTCCCCCTTATTGCAATGGCCAGGTGAGTTGGGAAGGGGGGGGAAAGGTGGAGCCAGGCTTCTGCTGATCCGCATCGGTGCTCCCATGTTGACAAGAGGAAACCCGGGGTCCCCCTTGCAAGATACCTTAGATTTATAGTATTTTCCCTCTCCTGTAGTTCTACACCAGTTAGTCAGCATATGCATAGTCATCATCTTTGAGAATAATTATCTGCATATGCAATTAGATATTTGTGGCACCTTCTTCTGGGGGGTGTCTCAATGCGGCTACCTTCATATTCAAAGAAGGATCCCGCAAAAGCAAGCGCTTGCTCCTGACTCCCAAGGCCTTCATAGATCCAGTCTTCTTTCAGTGAGCCCATTTCACAGGTCTCATTGTTCTCAGATCTGGCTCCCATCCCCTCTCCAACCATTGCAACTGTCCGGAGGTGCTCCTCTTTCTCACCTTATCCATTCACACCTCATTCATTCAGTAGGAACATTCTCTTAACCTTACTCATTCTTAGGGACTACTCTACCAAGACTTAATGCAAAAGAATTAATACAAATTTTGTATCAAAATTAATACAAAAAAGATTTTGATACAAAGTTAAAAACTTCAATGAAAAAATGATTAATACAGAGATTTATGATTAATACAGAGATTTTTCTACAAGTCATCTGATAATATTAATACTGACTTCAGAGGTGCAAAATTTAAAGGTTCTAAGAATCTTTTCCAGAAATTGTTGGCTAGCTGCAACAGAACATTGGTGGACTTTCCCAGGAAAACTCCCAAGCATTGCTCTGTGATCACTGAAAGATGTTAAAGTAGCTGTGAACCAACAGATTACTATGGGTGTGTCTAGATTACAGAGTTTTGTCGACAAAAGTGGATTTTTGTCAACAAAACTATACCTGCGTCTACACTACCGCTGAGTAACGTCGACAGAACTCAGCATAACGTCGACAGAACTCAGCAGTTTTGTCGACGCTGGTAAACCTCATTTTACGAGGCATAACACCTTTTGTCGACAGAGTTCTGTCGACAGAAGGTGTTATTGCATGTAGGGTTATGTCTAGACTACAGGGTTTTGTCGACAAAGCAGCTTGCTTTGTCGACAGAACTGAATGTGTCTAGACGCTCTTTGTCGACAGAAGTTTTGTCGACAGATACTGTTGAAAAAACTCTGTAGTCTAGACGTACCCTTAGAGTCCCCTTCCCAGCCTCTCCCTCCCCACCAAGACAGCGCCTGCTATTTACACAGGCCTTTCAGAAGGGGCAGAGCTGGGTGACTCAAACTGCCCCTCCCCTCTCCCATGCGGGCAGCCCTGCAGGAAGCTCCGTGGCACACACGGCACTAGCCCAGCGCACAGTCAGGTCGGTACAAGATCCATTGGTTCAGTTTGGTTGTTGAAGAAGACAACCCAGAACTGGCTCCAGCCCCCACTCAGTAACCTGGGGAAATGACCCACCAGGCCTGGGCCCCTCGGAGAGGCAACGATTCCCCTGAGTGAAACCTGAGCTAGATCCATCCATGTCTCAGCAAAAGGAAGAAAGCTGGGTTCTTTTCATGTGTCTTCTTTGTCATTGCTAGTCAGTGTTCCCATTCCAGGAGCAGGGTGAGTTTTGTCTTGTGCACCAATATTGAGGTCGTGTGTCTTTGGTCAGGTGTGAGCCCCTGCGGCGCCTGCCAGTTACTAACAAATATCTTAGCTACACGTTATGGGAGAAAGATACTAACCCAAGGGATAATTAACGCTGGGCTGCAGCTAGTCTTTGCTTCCCGCAGGGTCACTAGGGAACAGATGGGGGACAAGGCATGAGGCAGATCCAAGGGGCTGGCTAAATCCAGTGTGAGAAGCACATGGAAAAAGACCCAGCAGCAGGTGAGAGAACAGCATGAAGACATCAGGATCAGGACCAAAGCAGTACGGCTATGTCTATATTGGCAAGATTTTGCACAAAAGCAGATGCTTTTGCGCAAAATCTTGCCACCTGCCTACACTGGCCACGAGTACTTGAACAAGAACATTGACGTTCTAATGTATGAAATCAGTGCTTCTTGCTCAAATACTCTGACGCTCCCGCTCAGGGGTAAACCCCCTTGTGCAACTGGTCTTGTGCAAGAGGCCAGTGTAGACAGGCAACATAAATTTCTTGTGCAAGAAAGCCAAATGGCTAAAATGGCCATCAGACCTTTTTTGCACAAGAGAGCATGCCAGTGTAGATGCTATCTTGTGCAAATGCTTTAATGCAAAAACTCTTGCGTTAAAAGTATTTGCACAAAATCATACCAGTGTAGATGTAGCCTACAAATAAACCCAGGAATTAAACAAAAGCCAAGACACGATGATAAAGTGAAATCCCCATTTCTCTTTACTGCAAAACTAATTTTGAACTTTTTGACAATAGCTAACCACTCTGCCTGTGCTCCCTTCCTTCAGCTTCCTAACAGGAAAGAAGGAACAATCATCCATAGCAGACAGCAATTACAGTACAGCAACACTATCTGCTTGTTTCAAGTTCAGAAGAGAACACTGTCACTCATCCCCATGGTTAGCAAGACCAACCACTTTCAGCTGTATTTCTCTACTTACCAACTATAGAAATGATCCCTAAAAGTACAGTCTTAATAGCAGCTGACTCGCTACACACCCACACTCATGGGCATTCACTTTCTCCTCATGGGGAATGTTTTCACATAACACTTAAAAAACTAAAGAACAGAAATAATCTCAGCAAAGTGCTTGTCCCATTCAAACACACTCCACCAGGTTTAGAAATCTGCATATTAGAATATGCTCCCTGTCCCTGTTTACAGAAACACGCCTCCTGATTAGCATGTGGAGCACCTGGCAGCCAATCAAAATCTCCTGATGTTTCTTCCTGAAACTGCAGTTCCTGGGGCTCCTCTAAGTAACAAACTGCCAGTCCACAGACCAGCAAGGGGCCAAGTACCCCTGCCTGCCGGGCTGAGGTGGAAAATAACTAAGTAGAAATACTTGATTACACTACTCACTACCTTTTTTGGGTATTTCTACTTTACTCAAGTAATTTATTTTTGTCACACTTTGATTTTTATTCGTTTTTTTAAAGACAATATTGTACTTTTTACTCCACTCCCATTTCCAGAGGCGCTGGGTTACTCACGACTCGCATCGTTCTGATTTGCTAAAGCCCAGCTGCATGTGCAAGCACCAGTCATCCAAGAAATAGCCAATCCACAAGCACAATGGCCCTGACAAGGAAGAAGCCTTTTAATAGCTGCCCCAGCACCTTGTCATTCAAACCCAGTATCCCTGCAGGCCCTGCCAGCCTGAGACCTGAGCGAGCAGGGCGGCTGCCCAGGGCTCCGTGCTGAGGGGGTGATATGAGCAGTCTCATGTGACCTTACCTGGGGCCAGGCAGCTAAACAGGAGGGAACCCAGCAGCCGGGGTCAGGGGGGACAGAGGCACTTACTTGTGCCGGGTGAATCCTCTGCTCTTGGGAGTAACAGGAGGATGGGTGGGTTCCTGGGGCGGGGACTCCCCATTCCCCCTGGGACAGAGGCCCCTGTGGAAGCCCTGTGGGGGGAGGGTGGGGCAGGCTGTGCTGGAAGAGACTGGGGGTGGGTGACTTAGTGTGGGGGGGGGAGGATTGAAGAACAGGCCCCAGAAGCCTGATGCTGAAACTCCCCCTTAGTCTGGAGTTTCACACCCTGACAGATCAGAATAAAGTGTCTCAAAGGAGCTACAGCCCCACAGCCCAGCCCCCCCCCGCGGAGCCCCCCAGCTGCTCTCCCAGGGCTGTGGCCGCCCAGCCTGCACTGCTGCCAGCCCGGGCTCAGCTCTGCAGCGACCTGCCCAGCCGCCTCCCTGCCAGGGGCTGCAGACGTGTCTGCTGGGGTAGAGAGGAGGGACGTGTCTGCCCAGCCAATGTGAGGGGTGAGCCTTGGGGACAGAGAATTTCTGTCCCTTCTGCTTGTTTATTGTCTGGCCCCAGTGGCCTAATGGACACAGCACTGTCTTGTGGAGCCAGGGGTTGTGGGTTCAAGTCCCACCTGGGGTATAGAACAGTAACCTTCTGTGGGTTGATTTTGAAGCACTGGCTTGCTTTTCCCCATGGGAACTGAGAGATGGTTCCCCAAGAAGTGCCACATCCCTATACAGCAAGTGTCTAGTCCCACCAGCTCCAGGTGTGGAGCAGAGCAGGGTCTGTCTGGTGACAGGGCAGAGCCTGAGTAGGAGCAAGGGGGAGCTACTTTGGCCTGGCCTTTTTACAAAGCCCTTGAGCATGGGGCTGGCATTGGGGGAAAGTTCCTTCAGCGATGGGATGGGGGGGCCGGGTTGGGCTAGGAAGGCGCTGTTCTCCCTGCTCTTGCCCCCAGACGACATGGCTGCCAGGCCTAGGTGCAGGCAGACTGGCAGTTGCTGCAGCAGCACAGGGGCAGGAGGCCCCACTGATGTGGGGGGAGGCAGCCCACTGGGCCAGCTTATGGGGGGAGGTGTTCGATGGCGTTTCCCTGCTGACATGGAGCTGGGTTGCCAGGTGTCCGGTTTTGAACCAGACGGTCCAGCATTTGAGCTTTCTGTTCAGGAAACAAACTGAGAAAATAGAAATAGAAATGTCCAGTATTTTCTAAATAATAATAATGTCAATTGTGATGTCATGGCAAGTGTCTCTGGTATTTTTGTAGAAACCATCTGGCAGCCCTACATGGAGCCCAGGTGACAGGACACCTCCTAGTACTCATTGCTGCTAGCAACACCCTCACACCACTCCTCACAGCTCCCCCCACCATGGGGCAGGCAGGAGGGGATTGTTCCCCTCAACTGACAGAGGGAGGGACAAAGGCTGAGAAAGGCAAAGGGCCTTGTCTGACCTCACACTGCAAGTCTGGGACAGCACTGGGCACAGGATCTAGATGCTGAAACTCCCCCTCAGTCTGGAGTTTCACACCCTGACTGATCAGAATAACGTGACCTCCAGTGAGATACAGCCCCACAGCCCAGCCTAGGGATGGCTATGCCAGTGGGTTAGAAGCACCGGGACACAGAGAGACTCAGGAGCTGCTCAGAGACAAGCACTGGCAAGAAACAATTCCCTGAGCAGATGATAAGTTCTGGCCCATTTGCTGGGACTTGAGGAGAACAAGGAAGTCCTGAGTCTCCTCCCTGTGACTTCCTCCCAGCTCAGCCAATCAGAACTGGGACTAGAACTGGAAGGCTGTGTCTACACTGATGGGCCACGTCTACACTGGCGGGTTATTGTGTAAGAAGGGCCGTTCTTCCGCAGAGCATCCACACTGCCCACTCGCTCTTGTGCAAGAAGTTTTACAGTAAAGCGTGGTAAGAAAGGGCTTCTTGCGCACGAGCTGTGATCTTTTCTATACGGTGTAAGTCCTCTTGCGCAAGAGGGCAGTGTGGATGCAGGACAAGGGTTTCTTGTCCTATAGCTAAAATGGCCATCAGAGGTTTCTTGCACAGGAGAGCATCCACACTGTCATGGATCCTCCTGCACAAATGCACATCTCCCACATGGCAAGATGCCGCCAGACAGACCTTCAGAGATGAAGTCTCCTGCCCTCCCAGCAGGGTAAATCACCATCCAGGTGGATGTCTCTCCAAAACAGGAAGCTACCAGGAGTAGGGCTTGAACCCACACAGACAAACATCTATTGGATTTTTAGTCCAACGCCTTAACCACTCGGCCATCCTAGTAACAGAGTAAAAGCTAGACGTGTGCAAGTTCTCTCCCCAAATAGCCCAGGGACTCGCTCTCAGAGCATCTTCCTGGCCCATCCCTGTGTCAGGGCTTCCCACTGAAAGGGTGAGAGAGCCGCCCCCTTCCCCCCCAGTGAGGTGGGAAGAAGGGAAAAGGGAAACCAAACAAGAGAAAACCCAAGGTCCCCAGAGAGTCCGAGGGACAAAGGCCTGGTGGGGAAAATACCCCCCCACATTCACCAGGCTATGTCTACACTCCCAGCTTCTTGCACGAGAAATATGCAAATAAGCCTAAGTGTGGAATATCATGGAGCTTCATTTACATACTTAACGAGCCACCATATTTGCAGAAGAGGCTCTTGTGCTAGAAGGAGCTGTCTACACTGCCCCTTCTTGCACAAGAAAACCCCTCTTGTGCAATGTCACTATTCCTGAAAATAATCGTCATAGCGGCATTGCACAAGAGGGAGTTTTTCTTGTGCAAGAAGGGGCAGTGTAGACAGCTCCTTCTGGAGCAAGAGCCTCTTTTGCAAAAATTGCAGCTCATTAGGCATGCAAATGAGGCTCAGCGATATTCCATGCTTAGCCTCATTTGCATATTTCTCATGCAAGAATCTGTGGCTGTGTCTACACTGGGCCACTTATTCCGGAAAATCAGCCTCACATAAGATTGTCAGTGCTTTTCCGGAAAAACTATGCTGCTCCCGTTCGGGCAAAAGTCTTTCTCCGGAAAACTTTTCCAGAAAAGGGCCAATGTAGACAGCAGAGATTTCTTTTCCACAAAAAAGCCCCAATCGTGAAAATGACGAACGGGGCTTTTTTGCGGAAAAGCGTGTCTAGACTGACAAGGATGCTTTTCCGCAAAAAGTGCTTTTCCAGAAAAGCATTCTGCCAAGGTAGACGCGCTTTTTCCAAAAATGCTTGTAACGGAAAAGTTTTCTGTTATAAGCATTTCCGGAAAATCACGCCAGTATAGACATAGCCTGTGAGAGTAGACAGAGCCCTAGTGTTTTCCCAGCCTTGCATTTGGCCAGCCCCCATGGATCAGGCCAGTGAACGCTAACCTTTTTTTTTATATACCATGGACAGCCAAATCCATTCACAAACTTTTGCCAGACCAGTAACATTATATTTACATATCTGCATATCCATTATGCAAATAACAAATCTGCAAATATGGAAATAAACTGTTGCCAGTCCCTAACAGATCAGTGTTTGCAGATATCTACACTTAAAAAAATTCACAGAAAAAATTCCCTTCAGGCTGCTGGAGGGGCCGGTCCTCCCCCAGGGGACTGGTGCGTGCAGAGGGAGGGGTGCAGGGAGAGGCACCCACAGAGGCAGGGGGCATTTGGGACACCTTGGTAATAAACTTCAGAAATTTTGTTGGGGCAGAGAAGTTGGTGCCCCAAAGTGCCACCACCAGTCACCTCCGCCCCCCTCCTGCCCGATGGGGGTGGGGGAGCTGCCATTGTATCTCCCCCCCCTCTCTTATCTGCCCCACCCCATTTGAACCCCCTCCCAACCCTCTCTGGGATGGCTCCCCCCGCCCTGCACGAGCTGGTAGCAGCTTCCCTGGCCCCAGGCTGGGATCACAGCCCCCTCTGCTGAGAGCAGCCCTGGGCCAGATCCTCCCACTTCAACTCTGGGGGGGCTGCTTTCTGGGAAGGGAAGGGAGGGTCTCTCCTACCTGCCCCCCTGAGCGCTGCCCACCCTGGGGCGGGGGCTGGGCTGGGCAAGGACTGGCCAGGCTGGGGGGGGTGG